TATTTGAAAAAAAACTTTAATATTTGAAATAATGTAAAAGGGTTACTTACCCTTTTATTGTGGTCTGTTGCTAAACTCATTTTTAGTTTTGATTCATTGATCATTTGTTTCACCGACACAACTATTTTTGCCGAATCTCGAATCCAGGACATCAAAACGCACCTCTAACCCACGAAAACAGTCAGGCAGATAATGCAAAAATAAATTGTCATACACAAAGGTAGGTAATATTCATAGTTCGACTTTATGACTGAAAACAACATTTCCAATGTTACCAAAAGTAGTTTTATTACGCTAAATAAGTATCCGGCTTCCTACAACAAATGCAGTCCACTAAAATAGGAATAAATTGTAAGGATCTTCGCAAAACAATAGTTGGAAATGGTCTGTACGAGAAAAAGCGGGATGCAAATGCTATTCATATTAATTAGCAAAGCGAGACGGGGCTTTCACGAAATTAGAGCGTGATTTCAGTGAAGATTTATTATTGCGTTCGAAACAGTTTTTGGAGCAAAGGTAGCTATTTAAACGACAGGAAATTGGTGTTGTCAGACTTGCTTAAATTGGATTGACTCAGGTAGTTTTCTTCCAATGAAAATTATCGTGACCTACTTTGCTTCGGCGTTGCACCACGTGCGTTACCTACTTGGTTTTTATCTTTCAACCTCAATCTATATATATATATATATATATATATATATATTGTTGATTTATTTGTACATGGTAAAGCTAAATAACGTCTAAATATGCATTATGCTTTCATTCACCTTTTTTAAAAACAACCTAAAATATAAGCAAGGTACTCGAAGTACCTGGATATAACAGGAGGATAACCAATTATTTAGGGCGATCGCAAAGCGCGCACAACAGTATCTGCATAGGTACCTATCTGTTGGTAGAGCAAACCGTGTAGTCTCATTAAAACTTTCCTCAGACTGGCTTGCACGTGTTTTTAATTTTTATCGAGAGCTCTCGTCGTTAGCGGACGCGGGGCGCGCTGCGGCTTCGAGCTTTGATTGCGGTAATGACGTGTCTCCCGTCTCCACCAACACTCCACTCATCTTTTCACTATCTTCATATTTTTTTCTCGCAAATTAATGCATCTTTTTAATTAAGAGATGACATACATGTAAAGTACGATTCTATGTTGCTAGCTTGTATTCACACTTAATTCGTATTCATGTTCAACTTCTTTCTGGGGGCCTACCATGAGCTTGCTTAAAGCAATCTAGTTGAGATGCTGATGAGTTTAGGTTCTTAACTTCAATCGCATTTTTTCGTACCATGAGCACCTATAAACAGGGCTTAGTTTAAATGCCTTAACAGTAGTGTATGTAAAAGTTGTCGTAGGTATTGTAAAATTTGTCGACACGAACTGTAATTTTCATACAAATTTAGTTTTTGACTTTCTACATACACAACTGTTAAGGCATCTTGACTGGCTTAGTTCTAAAACTATCCTAAAACGTCTTGAAATGGCAAGACCGAACGAAAGAACGATAATTTTGTTTGTGGTTTCTTTGTAAGTTTTGAAATTTAACTGTCAAACGTCGACAGTTCGATTCGATTCCATTATAATAAATAAAAACTAAAAAAAATATTTCCATGGCTCTCTGGGTTACGCTTAATCTTTCACATTGTGCTTTGGTAAGTGCCCATGTTTGGCAGCCATATGTGAGAATTGGTAGGATGCATTTGTTGAAAAGTTTTCTCTTGATGTGCATGCTTGTTTGACTATTTTTCATAACTTCTTTTAGGGTCCAATATCTCTGTTACCAATATCTCTTCCACGCATTTACAATTCTTCTGTCAATTTCATATGTTGTTGAATCATGGTTGTATAGTTGACCTAAATATAGATATTCTGATACATAATCTATTATGTGTTCTCATCTATTTTTATTACTTTGTCATTCCTACCATTGGTCATGGCTTTAGCATTCATAAAGAGTCCAACTTTACTTTACTAGCTGTATTCAGTTCTAAGAGCGTTTGTTGTAATTCTTCTGCCGTATTGGCAAATACCACTATGTCGTCTGCCCATCTGTTGAAAGATTTTTTCAACCCAACAAGTATAAATCCCTCCTTAAAAGTTCCACCAATTATGACAATTTTTGTCATTCTTTTACCCGTAAAACAAATCCTGTTGTTTAATAGAAATTAATGTAAACAGCAGCAGGTTCGTTTTGGAATTTTCCACCAATGTATACTCATAACATTCACTAGTATGTGACAACGATTGACACTTTCATATTTATTATTTCGTGTCTTTAAAACAATCATTGTCAATTGTTTAAATAGAAATAATGTCCAAATTTGTTTCCAACAAAGCGGATTCTTAATCCTGCAAATATACCATAACAACACCCAACCAATTATCTTATAAAAATAAATTCCTTTTAAGTGTACAGAATTAATAACACAACCACTAGTTCAATTTCAGTAAATACTTGATATAACAAATTATTTATTGTTGGCGAGCCCTTACGAATTTGTTTATAACGCAGCGTTGCTATCTTAATGCTTTTATATCAAGTATTATTTGAATATTTTCAAATGGCTAATTATTTATTATTATAAAGGTGAAATATCTTTATTTAAAGGAATAAGTAAAATTTTAATTTTTATAAAACCAAAAAAGATAGTTTTACAAATAGTTTAAATTATAAATATGATGAGGTCTTCGTTGAGGTTCCTACGCCTAACTGATGTTCATGAAACTAAAATTTGTTTTCCATGCATAAATTAATTCAACGATTATTCTTTTTAATTAATTTGCAAAATATATCCATACGGACTTCACCGCGGAAAAATTCGGGGGGGGTTCTCACCCCCCCCTAACATCAACATCTGTTAAAACGATTCGAATATTTCAATTTCATAAAAAAAGAATAAAACTTTGAAAAAATAAATTATAAAAATAAATTACTTATTTAAGTGTAAAAATGAAAAACTAGGCGGTGTCTATTGTTGTAAACTATATTGATTTCTAAAGTAGCTTTAGGTGTGTAATTCAATATGCTATATTTTAATACACGGAATTATCGTTGAAGAAGTCGCAAGAGATTTTGGTAAAAAACGAGAAATCAACGCGGGCGGAAGCTGGTTTAAAATAATTGTGTCCTGTTTTGTTAAACTATCGACATATCTAATTAATTGAGTGTTATTAAACATAGTTTGAAATTTTCAACGAATTGAAGTCGGTAATCTATAGGAAATTATAAACTCAACATATTCGAAGTCGGTAGAAGGGATTTTCCCCCCTTTTTTTCCCCCCTCCGTCGATTTTTTAATAATTTCTTTATAATCACACTTCCTAAACTCAGTATTAACCCAAAATAAAACTTTTAATTACAATGTCCGAAATATAAAAATTATAATTTACTATATTAGACATAGACCTTATTAATCTTACTTTATGAAATCATTTTAATTAAAATATTGAATTTTGTATGTTTTAAACAATTATTTGGATGATTCGATACAAAAAAGTTGAAGAAAACCTTATTTAGAATCGCTTATTCGGTCAAAGTTTGAAGGCCAATCGGTCAAATTTTGGTTCAGTCGCGAGGTCATGGTACGAAATTTGATTACCGCTAACGTCACGTGGAAACATAAACTGGCGGCTTTATTCGACATCATGGTATGAATAAGCGATGCATCTCAGGTGTAGGTTGTCTATAAGCTCGCGATCATGGTAGGGCCCCAGGCCTTTGTTAAGTTAAAAATTAAAATATGTACATTGGAAGGTAGGTTGGCAACTTACTTAGAAGGCGTGCAAAGCTGTCTTTAACGTAGGTTTAGGTAATAGCTGAGTTATTTTATATAAGAAATCATGTACATCTAAGCTTCGTTTCCTTGCGTTTCGTATTGTTTGAGCGCCTGTGGAGTTTCGTTGGAGTCATATAATGTGTGTATTGATGCGTCCTGTGCATCTGCATAGTAAGCGCAAACTGCATGCGGATACAGCCGGCAGCCAGCAGGGAGGACGCAACAAATCCGCTTAGCACGGTCACTGACGCCGCCTACGTCCGAAACGACCTTAATGGATTTTTCATGTCGATTGCACTTTGCGAAAGTGTGTGTAACAGATTATCGAAAACTTTAATAGATATTTTGTACAATTTAAACTAAAAATAAACTCTTTGTTCTATGTAATAAAAACACGCCAGTGTTGTTATATTTTTCAACGCGAAAATATTTTGTGCCAACTTCATCAATTCAGAGCAGATTGTCTGCCCTTGTTAGTTGTTACATTACAAAACTATTGATATCTATATTTCATGATATACGCAAGCGTTATTTTTCTAGTGCTTCATAAAATGTTGTTTTTAAAGTTAATTTTTTTCGTATTATATTGTATGACCTGGACGTCAAATTACATGAATCAAGTAATTATTAAACATTACGGCAGATTCTATATCAATTCATTAACATAATGTAATGAATATTTTTAAATAAAATTCAACACTCAGTAACTATTGTACGTAACAGCTGACGCTGTTATGAAAAATGAAAGTAGATAAGTAATCAATAGTTTCTTTGGCGTAAACATTCCATACCAACCATAAAACAGCGTACTAATTCTTAAAAGGCCGGCAACGCACTGGCGAGCTCTCTGGCAATGTAAGGTGAGCCTCTAGTTTGCCCCCTGTTATATAAAAAAACCGTGGTATTGCTTACAAGTCATATTCTAACAGGATATACATGAAAACCATACTATATTAAACTGTGGAACAAATACCTATGTCTAGAATCAGCCTAACATACCAAATCACTAGACATTGAAAATTAGATTAGATAAACCACTAGTTTTCGTTTATGCTTAGATGTATAGCTGTAACTTATAATAGAGGTAACAAGATTTCTAATCGACAGTCGACAATTTAAGTTGTATGTACAATAATGAGAGGAAGTATTAATTACTGGCCAGTTCTAATTGCTAGGCTTTGATTGAATATAAGGCTATGTTAATTGTTATCTTGCCATAGTGGCACGCCATGTCGGCGTTGCTACTGATATTTTTAACAGTCGTCCCATTTGGATATGGGGCAAAGGAAAAACCGGTAAGAACAATTGTAACAATAAATTAAATAAAGTGTGGATTCTGTCAAATGTAAGTTACTTTTAACCGATAGAATTTATATTTAAATCAAAGAAAATTAACGTTACGTGGAAGACACAGTAATACTGTTTTTTTTCACATAAAAAATACCAATATTAAATTGAAAGAGTTTTATCTATTTACATATATATTTTCACATACATTTTAATATATATGTCACGTACTTTGTTTGCGTAAATAAACTAACAGGACTAGCTAAAGTAAATTGGTAAGGCACAGTGAAATACTATTACTCACTGTCAGTCACTCAACATCGTGCCCTCATGACATTATAAAACCCGACATTCCATCTTTTCCAATATGCTAGTTTCTCTACAGACTTGAATCGACTTTTCTTGTCCTCTGTCTCCCCCATAAATAGTATTCCGAATATCCAGTTTAGCGTTTCCTTAAATATTTTATTTAAAGTAACGTCGGTTTAATTTTGTTTTAATATTAATTTAAATAGATTGTAAAAAGTATTTACGTATTTAAATCTTTTTTATCGTGAATGTATCGTTAATGAATGATTGTTAGTGTACTAATTTTCTTTTATGTATGAGCATTTTCGGAAGAAAATATAATTACATCTAAAAGTGCTTGAATTTCCCTTACCTAATGGTATTTTTATACAAAGGTGATGGAGCTTTTTGTGTCTTCATTTTATTCTCAATTTTTTTTATTTACTTTAAAGCCAGGTTACGAATCCAGGACTGTCAGGTGCTAATTCTTTATAGGCATATCTAAACTAATGATATTTTTATAGTAGTATTAAAATTAGTTTTTGTGGTATGTACAAACACTGTGGAAACAAACATGTAGGCTTATTCATATTTAATATTATGATATAAACTTGATATGTTGGGGTAGTCCCAATGGAATCTCTGCTTAATAATTTTCTTTGAATCGTTTTTAATATTAAAGTTACAGAGCCTTGTCATTCACAAAGAGCGACCTTTCATCATTCACAAAAAAAATATTTAGATAAATTATATTACGCTAGAACTTTCGCATTATATTATAAGTTGTAAATTTTAAATGGTTGAACTTTTTATATTTATTTATCTGTAATGTAAACACATTTCAAACTAAAGGTTAAGCCAAAAGAAAAATTCAATTATAATGCAATTTGCGTCTCGTATATTTTCAGGAGCTTAGCGACGAAATCAAAGAAATAATAGAGCATATTCACAACGAATGCGTCAGTCAGACCGGGGTGGCTGAGGGTGAGTTGAAAAACGAAACAGCTATTTATTTCATCTAACCTTTGTTCTTTTACTTTTGAAGCAAACACCGCTCTATTCGCAGCTTAACTTTTTCCACAGACCTAATAATTTATAGACTATATTTATCAGTGCAGAATAAATTAATATATTCTGAGAGGAAAATTGCGTTCTTGCTACCACACCTTATGTCACTTTGATGAGACAGGACAATGAGTACTGTCTACCTCAACTGATTCCTTTTGCGCTTGGGTTTGGACGCGACGGAAATGGTCATCTTCGATTTAATAGTTTCGTAAATTAAATACCCTTCTGATCGTCAAGAATGTGTTTATTTCACAAGATTTTCGTTTTCATAAAAATGCAGCTTGTTTCCATAGTAGCCTATTAGAAACGAGGATGTAGTAATACATAACACAATTCAGAGCCTGGGATACCATGACCAAAATTATCAAAATCGTTTCATTATTACTTTGAATTTTTATGAAATGAATGAATGAATGAATGAAATGAAATGAAATTATTGTTACAAAAAAAACTACAATACAGTGTTCCAGGTGACTATGATATGGCGGACTAAAAAATATTGCATTTATTAGTGATGGTATCATGGCATGTCTGCTTTCATTTTCCAGTGCATTGCTTCAATGACATGGGTGATAAGCAAACGCCAAATAAAATTTTAATAAGAAAGTTTGTATAGATCGGAACAGTTATAAAGGATGAATAAGCTTTCTTTGTGTTAAATATTAAAGTGTGTGACGTGTTTACATACCTACATTAAAGAGTCTTTATTCTACTTGCCCCCAGAGGATATAGCAAATTGTGAAAACGGCATATTTAAGGAGGACAACAAATTGAAGTGCTATATGTTTTGCCTATTGGAGGAAGGGAGCCTTGTGAGTTATTTTTCTTTTGTTTACTCTTGAGTTTGTTTATAAAATTAATTTATTTTATCCTGAAACAAAACGAGGAACACGTATAAGTGTTGGTTTTTTGTAATGGTTTGGTTTTTTGGTTTTAAGATTAAATGTAAGAATGTTGTATTGTGTTTTTTAATGGGATTTCGTGTCTATGTCTAGGCGATATTTTAATATCGAATAGTAAAAGAATATAAGAAATACATTTCGAAAAGCCAAGTTTTTCAGACTCGAAGGTCGATGAAATTATAGAATTATAAAACATTTTCATACCTAAATTTTAAAAACATTTTTCGTAATGTTTTAAATTGTAATTACATTTAATTAGTTGTTTAGAGTAGGAAACATTCATTGGCCAATTATTCTGTTATAACTGTAATAGGTTGATGATGAAGAAAACGTCGATTATGACATGATGATAAGCCTCATACCTGAACAATATACTGACAGGGTCACTAAAATGATATCTACCTGCAAGCATTTAGGTAAGTAGATATTGCATTAATTGCAAAGCCTTCAAATAATATGACAAGACGCATAGATTATTACAATCGGCACACAATAAGAAGTCTTTGCGTTGTTCATAGGTAAACACATCTATAATATGCACGAATACTTTTACTTTTTATTTATAGTCTAGATATAGGTATTAATACATTAACGGATTACATTACATGTTTTATAATAAGCCACCAGGCTTCAGCCATTAGGCCGTACCAAGGTACAGTTCCGGCCGAAATAACAATTATCTCGCAATGTAAAGAACATACTTCTTCGTATTTCACCCTTTTTACCGTTCGCTTTAGAACCAGGTTATTTTAATAATACAAGCGAAATGCAATGTCATATGTTTATCATGTATACTATTTGCGCGTGAAAATTGGAAGTTTAAGCCTACGAAGGTTATTATTTATATTTATTGAATTTTTTCCAGATACAAAAGACAAAAATAAATGTCAAAGGGCGTTTGATGTGCACAAATGTTCATACGATCGTGATCCCAACGTAAGTAAATTACTTATAACGAATTTAAAATTAAGCCCCTTAAGATAAACTATCTTTGACGTTGAACAATTTATCCTACCATGGGAAATTATTCTAAAGGTAGTGGGGGGGGAGAGGTAATCAATTTATGAAAGGTAATACACGGATGAGGGCCCCATTGGGTGTTGAGGAATCTTAGTTTGCATTTTTGTTTTCATTTGTATTTTTTTAAAGATAAAATTTGTCTTTTTCAGTTCTACTTCCTATTTTAAGTAAATGTAAGGGGCACCGCTGTACCATGGGAGAAGCACTAATTTAATTAATATTATAAAAGCAAGCATTAACAGACATTTTTATTTATGACCAAAACCTGATGTATAGGAAATTCATAGCTAACTAACATACGATAAAACTCCATAAAACTAAGGATACAACTAGTAACTGTATATACCTAAACTTACAATGGAAGTTGTCGCATTTTAACCGATTTTTTTTAATAACATAGATGAGATTTTAGTTCAAATGATAGTTATTTTCACATAAATAATATCTCGGGTGTTAGATATAAAATGGCATTATTATAATAAAACGGTGCAAAAACACTGTTTTATTGTACAGATTAAATAATAATTTATTTAACCAATCAGTTGAAGTACTTATTCCTTAAACAAACGAGGATAATTGTAAAGGATTTATCAAAAGCTTTGTCGTATTTTTTTATTAATTTAAAAACGTTATTGCTACTTCCCATAAGAAGGTTTACCTACTTGTAAATAACGACGTAATTTGGCTTTTGCCGCGGGCACACCGCTCGGCTATTTTTTATGAAATACTTACTCCTCAAGTTTATTCAGATTTTGAAAGAAGTATTATACTAAGAAATTAATTTGCTTCACGAAAAATAATTTCAGCCAAGAAATATTAAATGAGTTTGAATCTTGTTAAATGTGTAATTGTAACCATTAGTGAATTTCAAAGGAACTCCTTCGTTGAGAAGCAATTTCAAATCTCATTCTTTCTTTTGTATCTTTGAGAGAAACGTTTATGACCTTAAATCTTTTAATTTAATAGAAAAGTATTTAGAGGGGATAACATTTTTTGGCAGATGGAAAATTTGTATATAAATAAATCATAGAATGAAAATGAGATCAAATTAGAATAAAGTGGGGAAAATTCCGATGTTTTTTATTAATAACACACAACTATAGAGTATTTACAATATTTTTAACCAATACAATAATTACAATAAATAAATAGAAAACTAAAATACATTTATAAAGTTAGGTCCCTGTGGCAGTGTACCTTTAATGCTGTCAGCATTTCCTCGTTATTGCGATACTTATTCGTTGAGCGACTAAAGCACCAGCTCTGGGGTCACCGGTATTATCTACCAGGCGCCAACTTAAATCTTTAATTAGTGCCTGTGCACTTGAACCCCACAGCCCAAGAGTCTCTACAACAAAAGGAACAAAGTGGTATACACTCAAAATAGTTTTTAGACAATATTTAAACACAACTGTTACTAGAAAATACAATGTAAGTTCGAGAAAATCTTTAAGTTTTGTTACATTTTGTCCACCGACCATGGCAATATGCATTGAAGAGAATGAAGTAAACTTAAAGATTCAAATTACAATAAAAGCGCACGTTATTTAACAGCAAAACGACATTCAAAAGACGGAAAAACCGAGGGTCGGAACATCTGCACATAAAGAGGCAATTTGGAGATTGCCGAGGGCGAGCAACAGCCACAGAATTGTACTCGAATGTATTCAAAATTAAAAAAATTGTTCAGGAATTCATTGTGACGAAATAAACATCAATGGTTGTTACGGTAGAGATGTGGATAAGCGAGCGGTTTTAGCGCAATGAGTTGACTGCTTGTGAACTATTTGCTAGTTTCTAAAGGATGTCCGAGAATAAAATACAATAAAGGAGGGTTTCTTTATTGTAGTTGTCTGAATCTGTGATGTCTTTTGTATCAGTTATATGTAAATATATTTATAGTGTTACATACCTGTAACACGGAGCTATTTTAAGTTTATCAGTCAGGTTCATAACTCGCACTGTACCAAAATTTTTCTTGTGAGTAGGACACCTGCGTAATTTATAAAACTTAGCAAACTGTCATAGCAGTGTTGGCCTAGTGGCTTCAGCGTGCGACTCTCATACCTGAGGTCGTTGGTCTGTGCACCAATGGACTATCTTTCTATGTGCGCATTAAAATTAGCTCGAACGGTGAAGGAAAGCATCGTGAGGAAATCGACATGGCTTAGAACCAAAAAGTCGACAGCGTGTGTCAGGCAATGGAGGCTGATCACCTACTTGCCTATTTGATTAAAAAATAATCATGAAACAGATTCAGAAATCTGAGGCCAAGACGTGAACAGGTTGTAGCGCCACTGATTTACGTATTTTTGTTAGCAAACTGTTATTGACATAAAAATGCAAAAGTAACTTTAGTGATTTTAATATGTAGCGTACGTAATTTATGTGCATTATCGACTAAAAAGTTATAATATTTTAACCCGTCATAGTCACAGTTCCACCAATAAGGAATATATCATACTAATAAATATTTTTCAACATTTCATGCAACGTTACGTATAAACTTTCCATCCTAATTCAATTATCAAATATGTGGGCGGAATTCCAAAATCAAAATATATTTTCTAATGAGAAAATCCTAAATAAGCATTATGTGTAATGACAAAATTGTTGGCTCCTACGTGGCCTGCAAGTGCGACGCTAAAGGCTGCGGACGTCGCAATTTGGCGACGCGCCGCAGTAATGATGGCCTGGACGTTGCGGTCCCGTACGTGCGCTGCTAAACCAATCCTAGTCTTCGTTAGCCTTATCATTTTATGAATATACCCTAAAATTTTAACGTAGTCGTCACATATTTATACGTTGATAGTTATTTTCTTATACCGTGACAAACGATACTAATAACATAAATTATAAAGAGCTTTTTGAATTAGTTATCCTAATTTATCATTTGATATTGATATAATAAATTATAACAATTTATTTAAATTAAAGTCCAATTAGTTAACTTTAACTGAGCAGCGTAAATTTGCTCATTACATTCTGTCGGATACAACTGCATCAAACCAATTATGACATTTCTGTAATCTATTCAGTTACGTGGAACAATTTATTGGTGTAGAGCACGTTCATGAAACAAGCCAATTATCCAAACAAATTGAGTTAGCCCCCTCGCGACGAGCCGTCACCCACGTCATAGTTCTCTTCAAAGGAAGCGTGTTATGCTACTTCGGAAAGGTGTTTGTTTAGCGGGCGCGCCGCAAAATGAATATTGATGACTTCATAGGGACCGGAGATGATTTGCTGAAAAATTAGCTGCTTTCTATCGTTTTATTGCCCGCCCGAGCCAGCCTTATGAAGACTAATATAGGCGTTAATTTGAACAAAAGATTGCTTTATGCTGATAAGCGATTCCGTATTCAAAATTTTTAATTAATTCCTGTAACAAATGTTTTTCACGCGAATGAAAAGCTTTATGAAAACACTGAAGAATCTTTTTGCTGTAACTGTGTTCCTTTTTGTTTCTGCAAAATATTCTTAATATAAAATTACTCAGAAAATAATTAAGAAATTTAAAGAGTATACAATTTTCGTATGCGTTATGTTTTTAGGGTAGCATCACGGACGTGTGTCATCTTGGCGGTGTATCTGACCGGAAGACACAATTTATATGCAAATTGAAGAAGATACAAGCAGAGATTCCGCGCACAACGGTCTACAAGACACCCGGCTTGTATTACCACTTCTGAAATTACTTTCACGCTTAGAATATTATATTTCAGTCATTATTCATTCGGATTATAGTTCTGTTTCATGTAATGAATATACAACTAGGGATTGCAGATATCGTTATGGTTCATGTCTATAATGTCTAGTTAACTAATAATTGCTTCTGAGAATATAACAAAACTAATGTTAAAATGTTTCAAAAACTACAAATTCAGGTTTTTTGTACAGGAACCCATTTCTAAAATGTTATTTGTTATAATGGTAATAAATAAAATTGAGTTAACAAATGAACTACAAAAGTAATAAATTTTACTATAAGCTATTAATTAATTAATTATTTGTTACAGTAGCATTAAGCTTCCATTTCTAACCATTTCTAACCACTTGTAATTTTCTAAAATTACAAGTGATGACTTGCAAGTATATAATTTTACAGGAACTGTCACAGTGGTCATATTGTAGAATTTAGTTGATAACGATTTCCGGCAAATCGTTAAATGTTGTTTGTGACGGTCCTCGTAGGATGAATATAAGTGGAAAGATCCACTTTAGTAACTTACAAATATAGGTAGCGTATTTAATTAGTTTCAGGTAAAACACAGACCGGCGTATACAGCCATGGTAAAGGTGCTTTGCTCTTATTGTACCGGGGATTAAATCGTCTTATCGTGTTAAAACTTATTAATATCGTAGCTTAACCTTTAAGATTCAGTGACGTACTCGAAACGAATTAAAAAATATATGTAAAAAAGTCTCATTATTCGTCGGCGAACCTCCGTCTGTTTATTTTAATTTTTCTCCTGTAGCGGAAGGTGTACATACGACTAAGCTGTGCCTCGCGGCACATCACAAATTGCCTTCTACTTATGAAACCATTTCATTTGCTTTATTATTCAAATATTTACTGAAAAAAAATCTTAAACGCTTCGTCGTTTATACGGTGAAGCAAAACTTTTTAAAGTCCAGTAGTTTACTTTATAAAGTAACCTTTCTCCAAGACACATGGTTACAGTGATTGCATCTCCATTCAGGGATTCTTCCCGCTAAATGGTGTTTATATGGAGTAGTATCAGAAATGGATATGGTAAATAATAATCAAAAATCGTCAATAGGATTGTTGTTAGCTACTTACATAATAAACAGGCTCATCCGAATATTTAATAATACTTAGTTAAAACTTTACACGAAACGAAAATATATCAAGGTTATCACTTCAAAATTCACATAAAAAATTGGATTGCTTTATACTGCACCTTCGATTCAATATTACCCCTTTTATAAAAACTAAAGATTGTTTAGCTAAAAGGTTGTACTTTGTACTTATTTACAATATATACCAATGTAGTGTTATTATTAAACTATTCTGGAAATATAAGGAGTAGTCCCTGAAAAACACGCTATTTGGTCGCGTAATTGTTTTTTTTTCGACCAACTAAGTGGTAATACTAGCCAGCATTGCGAGAACGACAATATAAGTTGTAAATTTCTTTATAATTCATTGCCTTTAAATAATAGGAAGTTTATTAAATCAATATTTGTAATATGAACAACTTCAGAGGTTACGAATTAGATATTTGAGATGGGATGTTGAGTCTGGCCGTTGATTTGAAAACATTATACAAATCTTTGTAAGAGACGTGTGTTCGTATACATATCATTAGAACGTATTATTAATTGAAACGTTGTATATTTTCCATCGTATAATTTCCTACCTTTGTATAATTAAATTAATAATTTTATAAAAATATATAAAATGTCAGTGATAAACGAACAAAGGCTTCTAAAAATTTGTTTAAAATGTAGTACTATTTGCTTTATTTATTTTCAATTTTACATTTAACATTCTGGCGTTAATACAGCACCCACAAGTGACATCTTGTATTTGTTTATTGCAAGAAAAACAAAATTTAAACCAAGTTAAAAAGATTTAAAAAAAATCAAAAGTGCTTTCCATAAAATTCTACGTCTATTCCCAATTACGACTGGTATGGTATTATATAGTTGGGTATAAAGGTTTGTTATAAATAAAGTTAACTAGTCATAAAAGTAGAATTTTAAGGAAATCTGCCTTGTCCATAGATAGTGGGTCGATTTGTTTTGTTTTCAGTGCAATGGCGACCGCTGGCTAAGCCAATTAGTGTCCACTTGGGTAAATACCGGCTCGTTAGCGGACTTGTGTGTTTTATTCAATTCAATTTGCCAACTCCACCACCACTTATTATTGACAGTACTTTCTTCGCTCACATTTAATTTAGTTAGAAGTTGCTCAAGATTTCACGATACTTGGATTGTTACTTTACCAAAATAAATTAGGTTCGTTCAAATGTAAAAACACTGCACTGAAATTTTTGGTCTTATACATATTAAATAAAGTAATTGATTTTATCAATACTTACATACAATACTTAATACATTTATTACTACACAAAGTAGTGTTGCTATTTTTGATTAAAAATCTTAACAATGCAAGAATTACCTACTGTAACTGTAAATAAACCTTAGCAAGAAAGAAAATTAAGATTTTGTCACTAATATGTAAAATGTAATAGATTTGATAAAAAAAGAAAAAAAAAAAAAAAAAAAAAAAAAAAAAAAAAAAAAAAAAAAAAAAAAAAAACTTCTAAAAAAAAAAAAAAAAAAAAATTATTATTTTCCCCCCAAAAAAAAAAAAAAAAAAACAAATCTTCTAAAAAAAAATATTTCTCAAAACACAATATATTTAAAAAAAACCCAACTCCCCCCCACAACCCCATTTTTTTTAAAAAAAAAAAAAACAACACTTCTTTCCTCCCCCCCCCCCCCCCCCCCCCCCCCCCCCCCCCCCCCAAAAAAAAAAAAAAAAAAAATTCCCCCCCCCCCCCCCCAACAAAAATAAAAAAATTTTAAAAAATCCTTTTACCCCCCAACCCCCTAAAAATAAAAAAAAAAAAAAAAAAAAAAAAAAAAAAAAACCCCCCCCCCCCCCCCCCCCCCCCCCCCCCCCCCCCCCCCC